AAATTACCCCTAGGTGTGAGTGAGAGAGTGCCCCCCTCCTTTCACACAGTGATGGCTGCACATGGGCACCAGTGCCCCCCCTGTGACCCGAAAATGGAGAAGCAGGTAAAGATGATGGATGTTGTGTTTGAGATTGTAGAAGTTAAATAATGAGAAAGACTCTGATAATAAGGAGTTCATTTCCCTTTTATAGATAAAACAATAAAATAAATTCAGAAAGTGCGTCACAAAAATGTACAATAGACAATAAAAACAGCACATACACAAACAAAATGTATTAAAAAAATAGAAAGAAAAAGAAATACACAAATTGTTATTAAAAATATTTTAAAGCTACTCATTTCAACAAGAAGACTGCTAAAAATATCCCAAAGGTAGGAAACTAAATTTGCTAATTTATTTTCATATATTGACATGTCCTTAAAATAAAGAATCTGTAAGCAAAATTTATGAAAAGTTGCCAACAATCACTTGAGATTGTTTACAGCTGAGGTGACTGAAAATACACCAACAATGGACGAGCTGTTGGACATCAAGACATCATCAGTTCAGCTGTATTCATTTATGTATTTATGCTCATATTTGCTGAGTAAAGTATGAAAGTATTAAAAGTGGTTACATTGAGCGCATACTCACATTTCAGAATTGCATATGTGTATTGCACCATTTGACATAATTCAGGATGTCTCTTTTCATTGTTTGAATTCATAGCTAGCGAGGAGTGGCTTGACCTAAAAGCTCGTTTAAATAAAAACATCTGTTAAAAAAAACACAGAGACTCTTGAACAGACTCAAAGCTGTCAATCCCTGTAAAAACTAGAGGAGTTCATTCCACAGTGGAGGTGCGACTCCTCGTTGAGCCTGGTCCCCTCTGGTTTTATACCAAGTCTGAGGAACAGACAGGTTCTGATTGGAGGACCGGAGGGCCCAAGTCAAAGTGAAAGGCCTAAACAAATAAATTCACAAACTCCGGAGCTTGACAGAACCATGAAGTTCACTCAGGACACAATCAAGACAATCAAGAGCAGATTTTAAGTTAAAACCAGCAAAAGGTGCATTACAGTTGACTAATCAAGAGGAAATAAAAGCATGATTAATAATTTTCAATGCATGTTTGACACCAACCTTATTTTGAAAAGTAAAAAAAAAAACTACGATGATAAAAATAATAAACTATGATTTAAATTGTCCTTTGAGTGGCATTGATTTGTTAAAAAAACACATCAAGTTCCTCAGGTTTGATACGATACCTGAGTCTAATCAGTCAACTAGTTGCTTGATTATTGGAGTCATGCTGTCAGGAGCAGCTGTGAAGGAAATATGTTGTTTATTGATCTGCTTCCTGGTACACTGCAATGTTTATGTCCATCCATCCATTATCTTTACCCGCTTCTTCCATTTTGGGTCACAGGGGTCGCCGGTGACCATGTCCAGCAATCACTGTGCGAGGGGTAGGGTACACCCTGGACAGGTCTCCAGTCCATCACAGGGACACATAGAGACAAACGAGACAAACAACCATTCACTCTCTCACTCACACCTAGGGACAATTCAGAGTTACCAATCAGCCTAACATGCATGTTTTTGGACTATGGGAGGAAACTGGAGTACCCGGAGAAAACCCACGCATGCACGGAGAGAACATGCTAACTCCACCCAGAAAGGCCCCTGGACCGGGGTTTGAACCAAGGACCTGCTCGCTGAGAGGCAGCAGCTCTACCAGTTGTGCCACCGTGCTGCCCGCAATGTTTATGTGCTGTACAATATTTTCCTGTACACGTCATAATTCATTTGACTCGGCATCACTGAGAAACTGAACATTATGTCAAGTGTAGTAATGGTGGTTCTGTGACAATCTATGTGGGTTGGTGCAATCTATGTAGGTTGGAGCAATCTATGTAGGTTGGGGCAATCTATGTAGGTTACTACATGTGTCCAGTTTCACTACTTTTTGTTTGTCTAAACAGATCTCACCTGTAAATGAGTCTTCTAGGCTCAATGTGACTTATCTATCTAAATAAAGGTTGAATGAAAGGTTGGGGAAATCTATGTGGGTTGGAGCAATCTATATGGGTTGTGGCAATCTATGTGGGTTAGAGCAAACTATGTGGGTTAATTGGAGCAATCT